TATTAGAATCAGATCAACCGGGCACCATTTTATTGGATGAGGAACAATTTTAAGTATATATTAAACATGAGATTTTCTTTCATTTGTCTCGCGAAGTGATTATTTCCTTGGTTATATAACTTCAATTTTGAGAGAGAAAGAGAGACCATGGTGGTGCAGCCAATCTGAGGTTGCGTGTGGGAAAGCAACCCCAAATGGAGGAGGTGGAGAGACAGGAGGAGGAAGCGAGTCCGGATGCTTCGAAGTAAGGTAATTGTAAACAGTGGCCAGGGCAAAATTTAGGAACTGTGCCAAACATTTGCATTCTTTTCTAGAGAAACAGTTACTTGTATCTTTCATTTTCTCATATCTGAATATAGCTGATAGATGAAAGTCCATGGCAGTAATTGATCGTACTGCGAACACCAAGTTTCAGTATGTTGTTTGTTTAAGCTCCAAGGCCAATCAAGTAACTTCTAAACTTAACAAATACAAGACCTACACAAATTTTAATGGTAAAGAACTACATCAGACTAACCCCAACCACTGGCCTGGAATAGTGATGGCAATGGGGCTCGAGCGGGGGTGCGAGCCAAAATTCCACCCCGCCCCGTCTAAGTTCGGGGCAATTTTTTGCACCGTTTAATTTATTATTATTTTTTTTTTTTACATTTTCAAATTTTCGAGTTATGTTATAATTAGAGAATAAAATACAAATTTAAAATAGGTACTACGCAGCTAAATTATCTAGAAATAAATTTATTTTTATTCTTTTATTTTTTATTTTTTTTTTCTTCACGGGGTGGGTTTTTTTGCCCCATTCGGGGCGGGGCTTTTTGCCATCCCTAGCTTGGAAGGTATCCACAGCTCAAAAATTCAATACGGAGGGTTATGTGCATTGAACTGACTATAGCAAGCAGTTCTTGTTGAGAGGTTAGAAGTTCCACAAATAAGCGTTGAATAAATTATACTGGTGAAAGAAATACTTCACAGAACTGCAGGGCTATAAATTTTCCAACACTTGAGAGCCCATATAGATGGGCTGTAAGCATCTTAATTTTAAAAATCCATGCTACAGCTCTTAGATATCTTCACTAAATCTTATTGTCGGTCAAGAAGTCATAATTCATATTTCATTTTGTTATAATAGAAGAAAAAGGTCAATAGTATTTAAGTAAAGCAACCATGTTTTTAAGAATGTTGAAGGATGTGAAACAAGCATTTAGTACTCAATTCTTTAAGGTTCCTAATTGTTTGTTTATCAGATGGGCACTAATAACTCAGCAAGACTAGCACGGCATCCTTCTCTAAATGTGATAATAAGTTTCAAAGCATTCACATGAGATTCAGAGCAAACATGCACGAGCTTATTGAGGAACAACTTGGAACAAAACGTGCATTATTACTTCAATATGTTTGGCAGAGCAAGCAATATAGAAAAAAAAAAAAAAAAAAAAAAAAAAAAAAAAAAAAAATGGATATAAGAAGTATATGGCAGATAAGTGATGATTAACTTATAAGCAATGGTACCGTAGCCATATGAATATTTACGGTATATGAAGACTGACTTCGTGGTTTAAAAGAAAAACTATAAATGTTTTCTTGGACTTGCTACTGTGAGAAATTAAACACAAAAAAAATCAATTAAGATATTCTCACTATCATTTTGTTCTTCTTCCCAGCCGATAAAAGGATTACTTTGCCATCAACAATTTCATCAGCCTCAATCTTCTTTGCTTCACTATCAACTCTACAATTATTCAAGTAAAGTCCCCCTTGCTTGAGCAAACGCCGTGCAGCCGACTTACTCTCGAGCAAACCGGTAGAGACCGTGAGGTCCAAGAGAGAAATATTCAAGACTTTATCATAAGGCAAGGAGCAGGACGGAACATCCTCAGCAATAGCCTCGATGATTTTCCAATCCAATTTGGTTTCTGCCCCCGGTCTTAAGGCCTCAGTAGCCTTGCGCGCCTCTTCAAGACCTTCTTCACCATGGACAAAAAGAGTGACCTCCTCCGCGAGCCTGCGCTGAGCATTGTTGGGGACATAGCCTGGCCCCTGCATTTCTTTTTCAATCTGGGCAATCTCCGCCATGCTCAAAAAAGTAAGAATCTTAAGAAACCTCACAACGTCCGAATCAGGGACGGAGAATAAATACTGATAGAACTGGTAAGGGGACAAGAGAGAGGGGGAGAGCCAAATGGCACCATCCTCTGATTTGCCAAATTTGGTGCCATCACTCTTGAGGAGAAGAGGGAATGTGAGTCCATAGGCTCCTTCTGCCTGAAGAATTCGACGAATAAGATCCGTTCCTGCAGTAATATTACCCCACTGATCGCTCCCCCCAATCTGAACACTAACACCTTCATCTCGAAAAAGTCGAAGGAAATCGTAGCCCTGCAGTAACTGGTATGTGAACTCAGTGTAACTCATTCCCTGCTCCGATTCGAGCCTCTTCCGCACGCTCTCTTTCGACATCATTACCCCCATCCTCGCAAATCTCCCAACATCCTTGAGAAAATCCAACAGCTTAACATCCTTCCACCAGTCGTAATTATTCAAAATAGAAAAACACTTAGCTCCATGACACCGACCAAGAATTCCGCTAATAATGGTCGAAATCCCGGAAACATTCCTGTCCAAGGCGAGATGGTCAAGCTCTGGCCGCTCAAGGCTCTTGCCAGAGGGATCTCCTACGCGACCTGTGGCACCACCTACTAGAGCAACAACCTTATGCCCACATCGGAGGAACCAAGAAAGGACTATTATACCAAGGAGGTTACCCAAATGGAGACTCTCCGCAGTAGGGTCGAATCCACAGTACACCCTAAGGGGAGGGAGGCTGGTATCAGAACAGGCCGACCTGAGAGAATCGCTGGTGAGGGACTCCAGAAGCCCTCTCTCTTCGAGAATGTTCACCACGTTGAGCCTACTCCTTACATCTGCGGCGTCCCCTTCAGTCGATTCTTGGACAAATTGAGTCGAAGAATAGCGTAATGAAAGCGGCCATAGATAAGGGTGGCGGCGCTGGGTGGCACGGGAATGAAGAAGAATGGGGAAGTGGTAAAGGAATGATCTTTGACTGCAGCAGATTACGAGACTCCTCGCTAAAGAATTAGCAGCCATTTTCCCTCGTTCACGGAGCAAGATAGGATAGTGTGAGGGGAGAGAGAAAACATGACCATGAATCTGAGTAGACTGCTTGCTCTTTCAGCCCAAGAAGACAGTGAGAGCCCAAAACTAAGCTTTAGGCCCAAAAGAGAACCCACAAATAACATAGCGCACACTGGTTTTGAAAGGGCTGATATCAAAAGTGGAAATTACACTCACACCTTTTAACTTATCAATTCAAAAATAAGATTTAAAAGTTTTTTATTCAAAAATCAGATTATAATTTAAATTTTTAATATTAATAATAATATTATGAAATTAAATTAATTCACTTACCCACCAACCCCACGCCGGCTCCTAACCCTGCTATTCACTTCCAAACCATATCACTTTCCCCTCTCTCTCTCTCTACCTCCCTTCTCTCTTTCTTCTCTCTCCATCAACAACGACAGAGCATCTTTTGTTGGCGCCAGTTCTATTGATTAAAAGAGCCGAATTTGATTTACTAAACAAGAATCTGATTCCAAAACCTATGCTGCCTATTTATCGCCCCATCCCAGCTTCAAATCTCCTGCTGAAGGTCCGATTCTTGAAAGGCCCATATCTAAGGGAGAACGAACAGCCTTAGCTTTAGCCCTAAGGTACAAAACCTTATTTATTGTTGATGCCGCTGTAGTAGCGGATTTGAGCATGGGGTAGTTTTGGATCTAGTTTTGGGGGTCGAGGTGGTGCTGGTAATGGCGGTGGTGATATGTGCATATGGTGGTTGCAGTAGTTTACGATTGCAATGGTGATCTATGTGTGATGTGTGTGAGGTGTACGGAGATGCTGTTGGTTCTGGTGTGGTAGGTAATACAGGCAATAGTGGTGTTGGGATGATGATGGTTCATCCTTGGTCAGTTTTTTTTTTTTTTTTCCGATGGTCGTAATTGGCTATGTTGATGGCAGTTATGATGCAATTAGTGTTTGTGGTGGTCATGATGATTCAAACGATGGTGTTGACACAACCATCATGGTGATATTTAGTGGTGGTGTTGGTTGTCAACGTATCTTGCGATGGTAGTGGTGCTGGCTTTGGCGTTGTGATTGCAGCGGTGATTGTGGTGCCAATTTTGGGCTGCAGCAGTGGTGTAGTGTAAGTAGGTTGTGTGGCGGTGATTTGTGAACAAGATTGATGCTGAATCAGGATCAGTGGTGGGGTGTTTGGTGCATGTGACCAACTATTTGGACTAATTATTAATCTTCGACCTTAAACTTTGATAATTTGTGATTAAAAAAAAATCCGCGACTAATAAATTTGAAAATGTATGACCTGTGACCTCGAATAATCTATGATCTACAAAATTTTTAATTTGTGATCGCGAAATAATCTGTGATCAATTAATTCAATGATATATGACCAGCAAATAAATTTGTGACCTATAATTATGAATTTGTGATCATTAATCGTATAATTGTGACTTTATTATATTTATTAAATAAATATTTTTAATTAATTAAGTATATACCTAAGTTTTGAATTTTTAAACTATTTAATTGATTTTTGAATTAGTGTAAATAATACATTTGGATTATGAATTTTTCCCATATCAAAACAAGTAATGTCATTAGTAGTGAAGATTATCAGTATCATCTTATATGGTATACAAATGACAGTTTATTATTTAATACAATAATATAATAATTTTTTATTATTTCATGAATCAAATAACAAATTATCATGTATATGTCACGTAAAATGATTATTGATAGTTTTCACTGTAAATAACATTATTCTATAAAACAGGGCTGGTCTTGATAATTTTGAAGTTGTAGACATTTATTATGAGGGCCTTATACATAATTTTCTACACTCATAATAACATTAAATATTTAAATAATTACTATATAAGTAGGATTTCCCCCAACTTTGGAGGCCCTAGGCCGTTACCTTAGTTGCTATGTTCTAGGGCCAGCTCTGTTATCAAAACTATCTCTCGCTTAAAAAATATCTTATTCTACAACTTTTTTTTTTTTTTTTTTAATGAAAATCACTATTTTACATTAAACTCATTTTATAATATTTTAAAAACACCTCATCATTTATTCAATATTTATAATTTTTCATTAAAAATCAAATTTCGTTAGGAATGATCTAAGTAACCTACATGTTACTATAATACACGTAGGGTATTATTATTAGGTTTTCATTAAACATAATATTTTGAAGTAACATATATTATTGTAGGTTACATTTTTTCTTTTTTATTATTATTAAAATATCACTATTTCACACGGATAACATTTTGTGCTATCATTTATTACATTTTTATCAAAATGTTCACTGTCGTCGTTACAATAGCCTACTTAATTTCATTTGAATTAACGAAAATTGGTTAGTAAGACACGTGTTGTCATTATCATTACTCGACATATCCTAACCAAAAACAACAAAAATATCACCAATTCGCACATTTCATCACCAATGGGTAAAACTTGTAGATGGAATGATTAAATTGAACTAAAAAATATATGTTAGAAGATCGAGTTACAATAAACTGAAGTTAGATGCCTAAAATGAAACAAACTCGTAAATTCGCTGACCTCAGTAAAATTCTCCCAATAATGACATATACTATGAAATGCAACAAAACCGTCGAGGTCACATTGTTGTCATCGCATGGCCTATGTTGAGTCGCTCTTACCCAAATGCACCTCTTTTCCACGCAGCAAACAGCTCCTTGCGCATCTCCTAACCACTGGCCTTTTAAAATTATACCCTTCCCGCGCAAAATTCCTTGATTTCTGCGCCACCTCTTCCGCCGCCGGTAGCCTCTCTTATGCCGCCGCCATCTTCCGTGGTGTCCCCCACCCTTTTACCAACGACTGGAACGCCATCATCCGCGGTTATGCCCAGAGTCATCGCCCGATAGATGCCGTCACGTGGTACCTCTCCATGTCACGTGCCCCGTGCAAGCCCGACGCTCTCACCTGCTCTTTTTTCCTCAAAGCTTGTGCGCGAGCGTTGGCCCGGTTGGAGACCCTTCAAATGCATGCTCAAGTGGTTAAATTTGGATTCGATGCTGATGTTTTGCTGCAGACCACTTTACTCGACGCGTATGCAAAATGTGGTGATTTGGACAATTCGCACAACATGTTTGATGAAATGTCGAGGAGAGATATTGCTAGTTGGAACGCATTGATTTTGGGTTTGGCGCAGGGGAATAAGCCTCATGAAGCTTTGGAATTGTTCAAGGAAATGATAGAAGGGAAGAATTATCAATGTGACATGCAGGCGAATGAGGTCACTGTTCTAGGTGCGCTCTCCGCGTGTTCACAGCTGGGCGCAATCAAAGAGGGTGACAAAGTTTGTGATTATATTAGGATGCAAAGCTTGGACAAAAACGTGATCGTGTGCAATGCTGTTATTGACATGTATGCAAAATGTGGGTTCTTGGAGAAGGCATATCAAGTATTCGAGGATATGAAGTGTTCAAGAAATCTTGTAACGTGGAACACTATGATCATGGCTTTTGCAATCCATGGCGACGGAGTGAAAGCGCTAGAGCTGTTCAACTTCATGGCCAGAGCTGGTGTTGAGCCAGAGCCGGATAGTGTAAGTTATTTAGCAGCATTGTGCGCGTGTAACCATGCTGGTATGGTGGATGAGGGGGTGAGTTTGTTTGAGTTGATGGAGGAACGTGGAGTAAGTAAAAATGTGAAGCACTATGGCACTGTCGTGGATTTGTTGGGTCGAGCAGGAAGATTAGAAGCAGCATATGAGATTATAGAGTCTATGCCGATGTTCCCAGATGCAGTTCTTTGGCAAACATTGCTAGGGGCTTCTAAGATATATGGGAATGTAGAAATGGCAGAGAAGGCATCAAGGAAACTTGTGGAAATGGGATCAAGTCATTGTGGGGATTTTGTATTGTTGTCAAATGTTTATGCTGCACACAAGAGGTGGAATGATGTAGGGAGGGTAAGAGAGGCAATGAAGAATAGGGATGTAAAGAAGTTGCCGGGATTTAGTTATATCGAGCTCAATGGCACGATATTCAAGTTTTATAACGGTGATCAAAGTCACCCGGATTGGAAAGAAATATATACGAAGCTTGAGGAGATTAGGTATAGGATTAGGGAATTCGGGTATGTGCCTGAAACAAACTATGTGTTGCACGATATAGGACATGAGGAAAAGGAGAATGCATTATGTTATCACAGTGAGAAGTTGGCTGTGGCTTTCGGTTTGATTAGTACTGACGATGGGAGCCTCATAAGTGTAAACAAGAATCTTAGAATATGTGGGGATTGTCATGTAGTAATTAAACTTATTTCGAAATTGTATGATCGGGAAATTATTGTGAGGGATCGAACTCGATTCCACAGATTCAGGGATGGGTTTTGCTCTTGTAAAGATTATTGGTGAAGATGTATTTCCTTCTTTCATACAGTGTGTAGAGTCATTCAACTTATAATTAAAAAATCTACTATTCCAACTATGTTACCAATAATATGGCTCGGAGTATGTAATCAACGTTATTACAATCTTGAAGCATCAATTATCATAGTTAAAGCCTAAAGGGTCAGTTTGACAGTGTTGGTGTTCCTATTTCTTGTAGAAGAACTTCTTGAGAAAGCCAACTTCTTCTAAAAACTCTTTTAGTCCGATAGAGCACTACCAAAAAAAGTATTCAAATATGTCCAAAACAACTTCTTAGTCTACAAGTAGTCTGTGGCTTTTGAAAAGCCCAAACAAGTGAGCTTGAATATACAAAGTACAGGCTGAATTTTGGATTCAAGAATGTCATCCCAGAAGTCTATGAACGAAAAATAATGCTACTGTGCAGCATATAGCCCAGAGATAATGAACTTACAATTCATTGGTATGTTAATGATGAAGTCAACATGACAAATCAAATGGGAAAATATTGGAGATTAACAGGAAATAATGAAAATTTTAAAATATCAGCGGCAAATTTCAACTCCCTCAAAGATGTAGAGCTTTCAAGGACAAACATGTTGCATGCTCAGCAAGAGTGGTACAACTGCATGTTTGTTATGCAAGAAATCCTACATGACAAATTAAATAACACTAAGACTTACTGCATGATTGTTATGCTGGAGAATACAATCAAGAAAGAAAAATAAACCAGCTAGTCTTGTCCAATATTTTCTGCCAAACATGCTTTTAAGGTCACTGTACTTAGTCTTTTATCAGCCTTGCCTCAAAACCCCCTTCAGGTCGCTTCACAAGTCTGTAGGGCACATAAGTTCCGAGCAATTTGTCCCAGATTGAAAAGAATGGCTGAGAATAGTTGAATTTTGTACCTTGGAGTTGATGATGAATGTCATGGTACGCAGTATTGTTTTGGAAAAATAGATGGAAGATATTACCCGGCAGCCAAAGTCCACAATGATCATCAACAGTTTTGACCACAGCGAAACAGAAGAAGAAAACAGCAGTACGTGCAGTCATTCCTGAAACAAGGAAAGAGATAGCACCACCAACTGTGTCAAGTAGGAGACCTTCCAGTGGGTGATTGTAAAGGGCCCCAATGGCATAAGGGACCACCAACCTATGATGCTGAGAGTGTATTTGACGGTACAAAAACTTGTTTTGGTGCATGTAACGATGCACAAAGTACTGCCATGCGTCCATGACCAGCATAGCAATAGCAAATTGCACAGCCTGAATAGAAAGAGACGGCTGAACTGTAACCCCGGAAGAACTTGCATTAGATGTTACCTACACCAGTAAGTGCAAAAGTTCAGTTGTATTTTACAAAAAATAATTAATGATTTATATTATTGGTTCCTTCTTTAAGCAAAATAATATTATGTTTTAAAACTTATTGCCATAGTCTTTGCCTGCCGGTCTCTGCTCTAGACTACATAAATTGGAATGCCTGTCCCCAGATAGGACAAACAATAAAAGGCAAGGAAAAGAAAATTAATGAAGGCAATTTGCTTCACCAAAATTGATTAAAAAATACAATACCAAAATATCTTCCTGTAATTCCCAGGTTTGAGGCATCCCAGATAACGTAGAGGAAGGAGAAACGAACTAAAATTTAAATTATAGACAAGCTGAAGGACTTAAACTTTCTCGAGACAATTTATTTATTCCATGTAGAACTAACTATCTATAAACACAGGCAATGGTAATACAAATCTGAATCCATTTTTAAGTTAATCTTTCATCGTTCATATGAATTAGAACCTTACAGCATAATTCCAAATCAATGACTTAGATCTTATAGCGTAAGATATATAGTAAGAACAATATAAAACATTTACTGAATCAAGCTATGAGAAGTCAAAACAATAAGATTAATAAGGGCGAAAACAAGAACATTTTCTGGTTATTTTTTAGAGGAATAGAGAGGGGAATAACTAGCTCAAAGTTTTCTAATGTGGAATGTGCAGTATATTCATTTGAAGAGATGAGAGAAACTCAGACACCTGCTTAAATGTCCCTATCATACAGGTTAAGTTCCCGATGAAAGCTGAAGGCCACATGAAACAAGTGAAATATAGGCACAAAAGCACAACTTATTTGACATTAGAATTATGCCACGCTATTCAGCCTATTCATATTGGAATGAGATTAGTGTGGGATGATACAGTAGCTAAATACCTAGCTATCAAAAGATACTTCAGTATGCATGGAAAGGAATTGGATTTCACTATTATTTGGCCTTTTACTATAGAACACTGCGTGCTTGAAGAGCTGCACACCAATTTTTGGTGGAGTTCAGTCCCAATGTGAAGATGAAATAAGCACAGAGCAACTTTAACTAAGGAATATCATTTGCTTGTCAACAGCATGTGCCAATACATTACATGAATCTTATGAAATCAATCAAAACAACAGAATGAAAAATAAAGCTTATGTTTGGAGAAATCTAAGTTGGACAAACACTAGATGATAAACCTATCAGTATATTCAGGCCCCATTTGATTCCCATTTTCATCATAATATATTTTTCTCTCTCCTTTTTAACCACATTTTTCATTAAAATAATATGACATGTAAATAAAAAACTTTTCCTTATTTTTTATCAACACATTCTCCATCAATCTGCTATTCCAAAATTCATTTTTCCATAAAAATGGGTACCAAACACTCTCTTAGTTCACATGTAAAATATTGACTTTTTACTATTTTCTTGTTTTGTTTCCAAAGAAATGGACAAAACTTTCTTTTCCAAGTAAACATCTACTAAACAGGCCAACAAGGCCAGTTAAGCTCAACTGGAACAGAAAGGGCTATATTTTGCTGAGGATACAATTGAAAGAACAGAAGAAACTAAAACATGAAGCCTGACTATTCTGATAGAGAACCAATTCATGAGTATTCAATAACCAAAACCTGTCTTAAAACAATCGTCAATTGGAAGAGTGAAGTTAAGTAGTATCATTGGAGTGTACTTTTTCAATTGACATTAGAAATGACCGAGAAAAGTTTGTAATATACACAACTACAAACTAAGACTAAAGCAACTAGATTCTAAACAACCGCAACACACAAGTCAATTTTGGTCTCCCACCCCGTCTTCTAACTTGCTCCACCAAAATCGCATCACTCTTATTAACGAGAGTGAGTACATCTTCAATATTCCTTTTATCGATATCTAACCTAAATGGCAGTAATTAAGCTGAAAGCAGAAGCTTGCCAAGTCTTCCACCCACTCCTCCACTGTAGTAAGGAAGAGCAAAGCAAAAGATGCACAGACCACTCCAATACACAATCAGACAAATCCTCCATGACCAATTAGGTTTCTGGTCACATAATCAGCTATTATAAATTCTTTGCCTCTCCGTATCCTTCTTCTATCCTTGATAAGAAGAGCATTGAATGCTGCCTCTTGACTGAAATTGAACATCGTTGGAAGCCATGAATTAGTTAAATGGAATAGTGCCAGAGTTTCACACTAATATCGTTTTACTAAGAACTCCTAGTGTGTCCCTCCTTGCTGATGCTCAAACCGAAATAGCCTTCTAAAACATGTCTCTGCGTAACATTAAATAGGAAGGACATGCATATTACTTATTTATCGCCCTCTTCATGATGCTGAAGTCCATTTCCATCTCAGAGACAAGGTTGAGGGCCAGATATAATCTTACATTATATATGTATGTGTGTTTGTGTGTGTGTGTGTGTACGTGTGTTGGCATAAATGAATTGGTTATAGAGCGTAGCAAAGGGTTCTAACACCTCAAAAGAAAGAAATGATATACAAAAGAGTACTACTGAAAATTATTCAAGCGAGCAAATTTTCTAACCGGAAAATACTAATTAAAATATCAGTTGGTCCATCAATGTCTTAAACTCTCCAGCCAGCCAGCTAGATCAAAAGTAAAGACAATTCAGGCCAAGAAAGCTAATAAACTCAGTGAATTATAAAAACATAAAATGTGCTATCTATTGCTTGTCAAAAACAAGAAGCAGTATATTTAATCTATAACTTAAATGTTTTAGACAACAGTTGAAGATATAGTCATTTAAAATATTAAAATATGAGGAAGAGTCGTCCTAATTATTTGAAAGTAAAAGAACTTAAAAGAAGAGCTCCTTTTTTTCATTAGCAAAAATACCTCCAGACTTAGCACACAATGACCACCTCAAGATCATTTAGAATCTAAACATTTCCAGTGCAGATTTATACACTTGGTATTGTCATCGAATGCATATAATCAACAAACATAAGTATCCAACTCTGCCCAAGCTCACGGGGTCAATAAGTATTCACAAGCTAGCAAAAATTCAACAACAAAAACGTTGACAACCTAAGTTCATATCTTTAAATTTGGGTTGGCTACGTAATTCATTTATAAGCTTCATTTAATCATCTATCTAATCAAATCAAATATTTTTCAACCACATTAGACAATGAAATTTTGATCTACTTTCACCTCCTATAACATACATCAGTCTTGTTAAAAGTACTTAGCTGAGCCCTGTCAAGTGTCCCAACTACCAAAACTATCTTTCCCCTACGTTGTCCTTGATTGTTGCTAATTTCACTTGATTGTGTATATTCTCATTTATTACCCATTCTAGTATTATGGTCATATCATTCATTTCCATAGCAATTGAAAATCCAAAATAAGGAATTCAAAGACATTACACTAATCCAAAAGCTCAAATGTAATTTATTTACCAAAAAGAGCAAATGAGCGACAACGGCCTGAACAAGCTGTTGAAGGAGAACGCCTTTGATCACAACCCCCAACGGAACCAAATTTTTCTTGCTTTCCTCCTTTCTTGTGTGCAGCCTGTAGTTATCTAGAGGCGGCAACAACTGATAAAACCCTGCGTACATCCAGTATACCACAATTGGGGCAAATGTCCCCATCAATTCATCACTCACATACCCATCCCACAACAACATTCTTCGAAATTTATTTCGTTCTTTTCTCCAACCCAAAATTTCTAATGTTCTGCTCAAGATCTATATAAGCACATTCTCTGTGTCGCATACACCCTGAAAAAATGAAAAGCATAAAATAGTGAATTTCCAGACGATGTCACAAAATTATTATTATATCAACTGATACGTTTGGGCTAATAAACCTGTGCTGAGTACCATATACAGAGTGCACATAAACATATAGCACAATACACAAAAAAATAACAAAAACACAAATTGAATATCATAACGTTAAATAATATACTTTAAGTCGAAAATTGAGCTAACATACACATGTAATGTGACGTCACATTACAAGAAAGGAATATTAAAAGAAAGGAATGCCCAGATGAGATATGATAAAGCCAAGGTAATTCAAAGAATTCTTTATACATGACGAAATATAAGTCAGGATTCAACAGATACAAACAATGCAAACATATTTATCCAAAGCACCAAAAAAATAAAATAAAAGATAACGAAAACACAGATGGAATTTAACAAATCGTTGACAATTCAAGCTCCGATAGATGTAAATGAGACTTACGTAAAGATGACAGTACAGGTGGTGTAAGTGAATTTTGTGGCACAGATCTGTGAGAATAATCTATACATAAATTATATGTGAGTATGAATACGAGAGGTGAATCTGGCAATTGTGATAGTGGTGACGGTTGTGAGATTCTTCTGGGAAAATTATGGATTAAATGATCCAAGAAGATTCGATTGAAAGAAAGAGCAAATAATTCTTCATTTTTACGTCTCTAGCGCTTGTTTGGCCAAAATTATTCCAGTACTTTTTGGAGAATATACAATTAAAAAAAAATAAAATTAGATTTACGTGTAATATTATTATTTTAATAGAATAGTTGATAAGAGTTATAAAAATGAATTATAATAATTTAAATTGTCAAAGATACTTTTTATCTGTAGACTTTTATAAAATTCACAACTTATTACACATTTCGTAAGAGCAACGGCATGTAAGCCCTCGTTTGGCTGCTTATTATTTCAAAAAAAAAAAAAAAAAAGGTTTTGAATAATATTTTTAAGAGAATATATTGAACAAGACTCAACTAGTAAGCATGATCCGTACAGTGTAAATGTTAGGTTGGGCCAATATCTTGGTTGAAATATTTTCCCTTTAATGCACAACACATGAGTTAATGCATCTGGCCCTGTAATTTGAATGGCTAACTATTAATAGTTACGAACCTATTCAAGCTATAAATGGATCAACAGGTAACGTTCCTTTTAGTAACCGTTTTAATAAATTAATTACGAATATCCAGTTTTCATGTAGTCACGATTGGTAATATAACATGTTTAAGTTTGACTACCATTCTTAAACCAAATTGATATTTGAAGGTAAATTCATAAGATTCGATACGATATTATGCCCTTGTTTGAGCTCCATTGTGGAGGGAAAAATGTATTTTTGAATAGTGTATTGATGAGAAATATGTGATTAAAAATAAGGAAAATTTTGAATTTGCGTGCAGTACTATTTTACTGAAAAAATGTGTAATTGAAATGATATTAAAACACTGTTTAAAAATGCATTTTTCCCCCCGAAGAATGGGGCTCAGACAAGAACACATATCTTAAAATCTTAAACCAACATATAGATTCATCTAACATCAAACAAACTATAATCTTAGGGGAGTGTTTAAAGAGTAAATTTCGACATTGCTTAAGTATATAATTAACGATTGACAATAAAAATTTGTTTTACTGATTTTGATGAAGTTATTCTTTTAAGACTCCAAAACTGATTATTCGTGATTATTATCATTGCACAAATATCCCTGTTCTCTATTTCTTATCTTATCTTGTTCTCGAAAAATACTTAAATTGGGCAATTTTTTTTTTGTTTATTTTTCTTTATTTTAAAATAAGGTGAAAAAAAGTCTCTTATCGTATCTTGTGCTGTTCTCGAAAAATACTTGAATTGGGCAATCTTTTTTTCTTCTTTATTTTAAAATAAGGTGAAAAAATGTCATTGGAAACTAACCTTTTGACTACTATGGTTTATGCAGGAATTAAGTTGACTAATACGAAAAAAGTTGGAACGCCAATTTGATTTCATTCATAAAATTAATAGCAATGTAGTTCAATGTCTACATCTAAATGAATATTTTAAGTTTAACGATGCCTCCAGGACCTCTCAAGGGCTATCCAAATATTTGAAAACATTTTTTTCCTCTTTAAAACCCCGTTTAGTATCAATTTTATTTTTAAAATGCATTTTTCTTCGTTCTTTTCTATTCAATCACACATTTTTTATTAAAATAATATTACACGTAAATAAATTTTTTTTCTTATTTTCCAATCACACATTTCACATCAATTTATTATTCTAAAATGTATTTTTACATAAAAATGTCTATCAAACACGCTCTAAAAATCTTGTCCTTTTCTCGTCCAGTGTCTTTAGGGAAATGTTTATGTTGGACTGTAGTGATGATGTGACGGGTCAAATACAACGGTTTAGAAGTGCAGCCCAACTTAAGGGCCCACACTCCTTTCATAGACCGAAGCCCAGGATCTTAGGGTAGCCCAACCAAGTTACCCGTTACCAGTCCATTAGGCACTAACTCAAGGAATAGTAGAGTTCTTTTGCGTATGTTTGGTTTAGGTAAAAATGAGTTTTTAAATAAACTTTGAGAAAAATTATGGATCTCATGAAATATTTAATTAAAATTTATCATTGGCGTTAACTTAAATTTTAATCATCTTTCTTGGTTGAATCAAACATGGGCTTAGTAATAGATTTGGAGAAAATTTGCACGATTTTGTCTTCGTTCTATCTACCGATATGGTTGCAATGTCTTAGTTAACTTTCCTTTAGTCACACGATCTCCAACTTGTTTGTTTTGACTTCACGTCGGTTGTTATTTTTGGGTATCTTTCATTTAGGAGGATAATGCAGTCACGAGTCATGATTTAAGAGGACAAAATTCTCGAGTTTTGATAAAATATCACCATTTTAAAGGCCATATTCTCAAGTAATATGAAGAATGGTCCTTGCTCTGTGATTGAAAACCTATATAAAACAAAGAGGCTTTCAAGACAAGTAGATATTATCTAGACAACACGTATATTTACATTCTTTGAATGTTCGATGATTGTGATAGGGCACTAACACATCTAAATGAATATATTAAGTTTAATGGTGCCTCTAGGACCTCTCAAGGGCTATCCAAATATTTGAAAATATTTTTTTTCCTTTTTAAGGCCCTATTTAGTAGCAATTTTTTTTTAAAATGCATTTTTCGCTATTTTCTTTTCAACCACATATTGTTTATTAAAATAATATTACACGAAAATAAAAAAAATTTCCTTATTTCTCAATCACACATTTCACATTAATTTACTATTTTAAAATGTATTTTTACATAAAGAGCCTGTTTGGGAATGATTTTGAGAATTGATTTTTTGACCGTTAGGAGAAAAGTGGGATTCACCTGTGAGAGAAGAAGTCAAATATGACGGCTGAAACAGTGAAATAACGGTCAAAAAATTAATTTTTTGGATGAAAAAATTGCTCCCAAATAGGCTCAAAAATGTCTATCAAATACTCTCTAAAAATCTTGTCCTTTTCTCGTCCAGTGCCTTTAGGGAAATGTTTATGTTGGACTGTACTGATGATGTGACGGGTCAAGTACAACGGTTTAGAAGTGCAGCCCAACTTAAGGGCCCACACTCCTTTCATAGACCGAAGCCCAGGATCTTAGGGTAGCCCAACCAAGTTACCCGTTACCAGTCCATTAGGCACTAACTCAAGGAATAGTAGAGTTCTTTTGCGTTTGTTTGGTTTAGGTAAAAATGAGTTTTTAAATAAACTTTGAGAAAAATTATGGTCTCATGAAATATTTAATTAAAATTCATTATTGACGTTAAATTAAATTTTAATAATCTTTTTTAGTTGAATCAAACATGGGCTTAGTAATAGATTTGGAGAAAATTTGCACGATTTTGTCATCGTTCAATCTACTGATATGGTTGCAATGTCTTAGTTAACTTTCCTTTAGTCACAGGATGTCCAACTTGTTTGTTCTGACTTCACACCGATTGTTATTTTTGGGTATCTTTCATTTAGGAGGATAATGCAGTCACGATTCATGATTTAGGAGGACAAAATTCTCGAGTTTTGATAAAATATCACCATTTTAAAGGCCATATTCTCAAGTAATATGAAGAATGGTCCTTGCTCTGTGATTGAAAACCTATATAAAACAAACAGGCTTTCAAGACAAGTAGATATTATCTAGACAACACGTATATTTACATTCTTTGAATGTTCGATGATTGTGATAGGGCACTAATGACACCTTGACCAATTTTTCATAAGTAATCCTGAAATCTGCACAAGGATTTTTGTATAAATTTAAGCCAACAAGAGCAAAAATGCAAAATATTATGAAGACATTGAATTTATCTTAAAATACAAATCTTATTAAGAATAATTATCTAAATTTTTATGTTTTCATCTATATTTTTGTTTTTAAAAGATGTTAAATTTTACTCTTAACAATTTCAACACATAAAATCGAGTTTTATTAAAAGTGAAAGTACATCAGTTCAAAACATTAACAAATTAAATATAGTTTAGTCAAATTCAAAAAGTAGAGCAAATTTTTTTTTTTAAAATATAAGGTACCACTAATGTCTCAAAAGTCAAAACTCATTTTCTAGACTTTTCTTTCACGCCACCGGTTTTGAACGAGGGAATTGGTCAAGATCACATTTTTGTATCTTTCTTACCTTTATCAACTTGTCTGTCGCGCACCAAAATCATTATTTGACAGGATAAGATTGTTAACAGCTAGACGTATAGCGAATTAAATATATCATCATATGACATTTTTCCCTTCATATGGCACGATAAGATCGTTAATGGCTAGACATATTGTGCATTAAATATATCATCATATACTGATATTATTTAGCATCCAATCAATAGGAATGGGTATGTACTAACTATTTCGAATTTTTTGATCTAAGAAAAAGGAGAAGAGGGCATTCCTGGACTAAACTTGTGGCTCATGAAAGTTACGCTATTAAATTATCATAATTTCTTCTTAAAAAAAGAGAACGACTTTATTGATAAATTACTCCCCCAAATTCTTTATATATATTTGAAATAAATTGTACCATGTGGTTATCGAGTTCAACACCGGAAAAGTAAAAAAAAACAACAAAGGCCTAAAATAAATGAAAAAATAAAAATAAAAATACACTAATATTTTTATAATTGTCCCATTGATTTTACTATGTAAAAGACTTTGGTACCAATTAAAATCTAGATTTTAATTTAAGTTAAAGTTAATAATTAATTTCAACCACATATTTTATAGATTTCATAGCTTTTCAATAACAGATTTCATCGACTTCTATCAAAATGTAATAAAAATTTGATTTTAATTCCCAACCCGATTTCTCGAATTCCTTTGTCCCCAAATTTCAAACCATCTTTCCCAAACTCCCAATTCCTCTCCCCCAATTTCGAATCGGACAACACCCATTGCACAAACGCTAAACCAATTTGTCGCTCAAAAAATGCTATCACTTGTCTCATCACACAATTCGAATGGCACATTGTGTCATCTTGATCAACTTTCGATAATGAAGACTTCATAGAAAGAATCAAACTTAAGAAAAAGGTTCAGAGGACGTCTATTTTATATTTGCAATAGTGAGTGTGATTAATTCGAGTGGGTAGATCATCTAATTGGG